AGCCTCCCTCTCCCTTGATGTTCATTTTCTCTGGGGCAACTGGCAGAAAATATGATCCTAGAGTAGATGCACCTTTTGTCTGACCCAGGATGTCTTGCTTGGGTTTATACCCAGAAAGGATTGTTCTCAATGTACTGCCCAAAGTAATGGGCTAAACCTTCAGCAAGGGCCAGTTAAGTCAGACTTTGGGGAAAAACTTGCCCACTAAAAGGATAGTTACTCTCTGAAATAGGCTGTGAAGCTGGTGAAGATTAAAGGACAGGTTGGACTAACATCTGACACAGACAGTCTAGGGTTATCTGCTCCTGTCTCAACACATGGGACTGGACTGGCTAGCTTCTCAAAGTCTCTTCCAGGTCTATGCTTCTCTGATTCATGATAAATAACTTGTCCCAGAACACTCAGAGGAAGCCTATGTCAGAGCAGGGAACTGAACCTAGCTCTCGTGAATCCTAAAGAAGTGTTATAATCCTGGTCATGCTTGCTAAGGATGTGTGGGATTTAACACCTGTGCAATATGCCCTGGGCAACTGACATAGTCAGGCTTGGTTTTTTGTTCATCTGTCTTTTCATTAGAAGATTGTGGAACTTCCAATAACTCATTACCCACCTCACAAATATGGAGGCATACAAGGATGCCCTCCAGGACTTCAGACACAATGGGCTTACCCATCTAAATGTAAAATTCTGCTTATAGCTCTACATTTATATCAACCATATGAAGAAAAAGATGATGGCAACTTTTATTATTATGCAGGGACAGCCCTTTGCTTGCCACTTTGCTGTATCTGTGACTCTGTTTTGTATGTAACCCACATTATCCCAGTACAGGAATTTGTTCCACTTCTCTTGTGAAAAATTAGAATGGTGCAGAACTCCAGAGATGTATAATGGTTCTTGGGAAATCCCTAATGTTATTCTGTTGGGATAAATTTTCTGCAAGATGTGGTATAATGAGTTTGTCGGGCTGAGATAAGAGTTTTCAAAGAACAAGAGCAGAGACCACCTGTACCTGCTGCTAGTGAGAGGAGACAAGTTAAAGGTTCAGCTGTCCCCAGAACAGTTCAAGTCATACACACCCTGAAATTAGGGTTGCCAACTTTCCCAGACTGGACACCATTTGCAGCAATGGCATATGGTTAGGAAAGTTGGCAAACATATAGGCCCCCCCCTTATCCTCAGTTTCCCCTCTTAGAAACCAGAAGCCCCTCCTTGTTGCTCCTGATTTTGAGCTTCTGGGATTGGCAATACTATTCATTTTTAAAATACAACATGCAGTTCTTGCTATTACAGTACTAAATGTTTTCATCTGTATGTTAACCAGACCCCGAAAGCTAATGATTCCACCTTGTGGGGAATAAAAGGAAAAACAAGTAGAACAAGAGCAAAACTTGTAATAGAAAATTTGTTTAGGAAAAATACTACATACCTAATTCAAGACCAGATTTAATTTAAAATGTAACATTTTCAACATTAACATATGCAGCACATGCCATTTTAGTAACTTTATATATAACTATATTTTAATACATATTTGATAAGCAGAAAACATGTTTAGGGACTGGACTGAAGTACTAATTATCAAAAAACATAACATTTAATTCATGTTGATTTTACAACATGGAATCTTTATGTTATTAGTTTTCAGAAACATTACTTTACATAGCCTCTTTTTAAGACTGAGTCAGTTACAAAAATATTATTCATGGAATCCTGTATATTTATTAGTCTGTAATATACATCAGTGGTCACATAATTCTTTGCCTTCTTGTTGTGGATACCAATACTCTTTGCAGTACTACAAGGCAAGTAATGTAAGGGACAAGACACCTGTAAGCATGTGACTGGGAAATAAATGCAAACAAAAAACCAAACCAAACCCTCCCCACCTCTCCCTCTCCAAGAATCAGAATCATAAGTAAATGATCACTAATATAGCCATTATGGCCCTCCTTCCCCAGTGGGTCATAAGATTTTGGTAACCAAGACAGTCTTCCAGAAGAGGGTAGTTTTGCTAACTGCTCTTGTGTACCTAGAATTTTCAGGCTGTGCCAGTTGAACTATAGCAGTGCCTTGACTGGATACAGAGGAAGCGGCTTGCAGTCAATATTGTGTTCAGTCAGAATGCACCTCACTTCATGTGCCCTTGTTTTACATGTGTCATTTTAGTAATACTAGTAGGAAAAAAGCTACTTAGATGGAGCCAGCAGAATGTAACAACCCTGTATGTGTTGTGACAGATCCAGACCAGCCATCTGCTGCACGCTAGTGGAGGGAAGACATGCTGGAGCTTGAGTGAACAGCTTTCTCTTTCCTGAGTAAAAAAAGGCCAACTGTAAGTACAGCATAATCAGGCAGGCACTTGAGGCCAGTTAGAACTTGCTAGGAGCTACCACCGGCTAATTAGACACAAGCAGCCAATTAAGGCTGGTGGTGCTGCTTTAAAAAGTCTCACCCCAGGCAAGGGAGGAAAAGAGTGAAGGACTGGAGGGAGGAAGTGTGGTGTAGAACGTTGGTGCACAATCCTTGGGTCATGACCCCCAAGGAGGTCGCGGCTGTCTTTCGAGGGAGGTCACAGCACCGGGCCAGCTGCCATTTTTGTTTTCAGTGTGGCATACACGCAGGTGGAGTGGCAGGTGAGCGGAGCGGCATGTAAAGAGGCTGTGATTTTTTTTTCCTCCTTGCTCAATCAAAATTTTCCCAGGGGTCACGCTGGGAAAAAGGTTGCGCACCACTGGTATAGAAGAGCTGAGAACTGATGAGCACCAAAGGAAAGGTGCTCCAGTACACAAGCTAAGGATCAATTATGTTATAGTTACTACTAATCTTAATAATAAGAACTTGAAATAATAAAATCAGCCTCTTAACATATTGCTAGTTATTTTTGGATTTAAATTGTTTTTTAAAGCAAAGTGATTCACTCTCTGTTATCAAAGAAGAGTCTGTCATGACTAGATAAAAAGTAGTATTTAAGAAGGCAGAAAAAATAACCGTTTAAAGTTTGGTACCAGCTTATTACTATGTATTGTATCAAAAGATACGATAGCTTTCAAAATTATTTTCAGTAGCTGTATTTAAAGGGAAAGAAATAATTTCATGGCCCATATTAATATTTGTAATTATGTACTCTTTAATTAAGTGATTGAGTCAAATGCTTGAGGGCATACACTGATTACTTCAGGGGGATGGAGTGATTTCAGCTCCTCCTTTCCTCTGTGTGCTTCACTGCACATCGGAGCTTGGTCCAATTCCTATTCAAATCAGTGGAAAGATTCCAGCTGGTTTCAATGGGAGATAGATTGAGTTTCAGTCAAGCACTGAGTCAAGTAGAAGAGTTGACGTGAGAGGCCTATCTTATACTTTTATAATCCTATAAATACACACAAAATATATATGTTATAACAATCATATCACACAAATTAATAATGAACTAAGAACATTGACTACAGTTACAAGCACTACAAATCTAGGATACCTCAACTACTTTCAATGGCATTATTCTAGATTTACAGTGATATAACAGAACAGAATCTAGCCCAGGAATTTTAGTATCCCCTCCAGAACCTGGCTTTCTTCTTCTCTTTCCTAAATCTATTTTAGGAAGGAAGGGGCTCAAATACAATAGCAATGAGAACAGTTTATATATGAATATATTACCTTTAAGAAAACCTGTCTGGATTCAGATTAGATTCTGAGTGGCTTTTAGTTCAAATTATCCAGTTACAGAATCATAGAAGTCACTCTGAATTTCTATCATCTTGGGCAAAAAATCATCTGTGAAGAAGTCACATCATTTTGGTGACACTGAAAACAGAACCAGAAAATTGGCCTCTTAACTTTTAGATCTGACCCAATGCCAAAACCACAATCTGGTTTAGCATAAAAACACACAATCCCAATGAGGTTTGAAGGGATTTGATTTTAGCAGTTCTCTTTTGGGCCCTTCTCTCTGATTGTGAAAACTTTGAGGTGTAATTAATAGTAACTTCAACCATTAAAAAAGCAATGAATAGTGTAGCAGCGCCTTAAAGACTAACAAAACATGTAGATGGTGTCATGAGCTTTCGTGGGCACAACCCACTTCCTCAGATAAGTCTTCAAACATTGCTTATCAAAATCTAGCCCAGGGAATTTTGTTACTGATAAGAATTTTTTTCTATTAAGTTTGTCCAATATAAAGTATACTAATGAATAATAAAAGTAGGAAACAGTTGAAACCCCTTGGAAACATTTTTTTTTTTTTGGTTAATTAATCTACATAAGAACCCTTCACAAACCAAACATTTCCAACTTGATGGAGCAAAGCTTGGTTGCAATAAACATAGATTACTTTAAATCGTTATGTACATTATTTTTTTCCTCTCTACACTTAGTCAATAACATAATCACAGGCACAAATTCGACAGCAGCCATTCTCCAAATGGTCCTCTAGCTGACAGCAGCAAAACTAGTGACAGCAGCTTCTTTGTATTACACTGAAATTCTCCCCCCCGCAGTGAAGGTCCAAGGGGTCACTGATTGCATAGTCTTTGCTCCATTGCAGACCCTTTGCTAATGTTTGGATCTGAGAATAACAGACTGAATGTGACACACAGTCTTGTCTTTTTCTTATTTCATATGTTAAAATACTGTTTAATAAATGTAAAGCACCTGTTCATTTGGATGGATGCCTGTAACATACTGGATGGAAATTATTAAATTTGAAGCAAAAATGTCATTTTAATTCAATACAGCTGAAAAAAATGCTATTATTGTTACAATCTCAAACTTTCTAAAAAGATTTGCATGGTACAGTGTGATTTACAATGTAATGGATTATTATTTCATAATCTTGGTGCAGGAGAAAGAAATAAAAAACATTTAACGAAATTTTACTGCATTCCAAGCTTTTTCCAGATCCTGAAATAGGAATTGGGGATGCTCTTTGGGAGAGGCAGAAGCACACAATATCTAAAAATATCACACCATTTAGTTGGTCTTTGTTTCATCTTGGTTTCCAATCATGTGGATACAGTATCTTTGTTCTCTAATATCTCCACTTCCTTGTTGCTCGGGACTACTGTACTGTTCACTATAGCTCTTGCTAATGTTAACGCAGGCACAGAAAGTGCAGTAATAGACATCACATGAGAGAGGCAACCCAGAATTTTTATAGCACACCATTCTAATGGGTGTGACTATTTTCTGTCACATCAAATCAATCTTTAAAAAGAGAGAACCCAATTAAGAATAGGTAATAGACAGCAAACACAGTTTCCACTCACACTTAAACAAGCAGCTATGCGGGTCTAAATATAGGGTAGTGATCAAAGTTCAGTTCTTCAATTTTAACTTCTTCACCCTAAACAAAAAAATCCATCACTTGTTTAAAAAGAACCCCAAGCTACTACTCATCATGCTAGCATGCTTAAAGTATTGTAATACAATCCTGATTCAAGATTATTCAACCTTGAGAGCATAAGACTTTTAGGACTTAGGGTACGTCTAGACTACATGCCTCTGTCGCCAGAGGCATGTAGATTAGGCTACCAGACATAGTAAAATGAAGCGGCGATTTAAATAATCGCCGCTTCATTTACATTTACATGGCTGCCGCGCTGAGCCGATGAGAGCATAAGACTTTTAGGACTTAGGGTACGTCTAGACTACATGCCTCTGTCGCCAGAGGCATGTAGATTAGGCTACCAGACATAGTAAAATGAAGCGGCGATTTAAATAATCGCCGCTTCATTTACATTTACATGGCTGCCGCGCTGAGCCGACAAACAGCT